AGATACATGTTTTTAAGAAATTTTAATCCACCAAATACACCCCAAATTCAGGTGTCAATTGAAAACATTTTTTTTAATCTATCTAGTTATCAATTCACTTATAAAGTAACAACTCAAAATAAGAAAATATAACATGAAAAATCTATTAACTATTCCACATGCAATTCTAACATGTCATAGTAGTCATGAACTGAAAAACTATACTATATATTCCAATTACATTATCAGTGTTAACTGAAAATAGGCTTGTGTTTTATTAAAAAAAAATAACCTATTAATGACAACAACAACAATAGAAACAAAAAAAATCTCACTTACTCCCATATAGATATATTGTGCTGATACTCCAGATACTACTACAAAATGATTCCATTTTTGTGATTGGCTGGGTTCACAGTGAGTATGTTAGTACCAAGATCATATATTATTATTAGTTTAATAATGGCATTAGTGAATGTATATAAGGCTTGTAAAAAACTAATATTAAAGCTCTTAAGGGCAATAAGCTGGCAGCTGCCAGAAAAGGTGTTGTGAGGAATAAAAAAACACATTGAAGAAACTTAATTTCAGCACAAACTGGTTTACAATGTTTTTTCTAATTAAATGAACTAATTCACACAGACCGCTGCCTCAGGAACTAACAGAACAAATAATAGACCTTTTGCCTAGTTAATGACTAGCCCAATTTTGAAAATGAAAGCAATCATTAGCAATCTCCCACACAGTGCTATTAGGAGTGGATTGAGCAATCATCAAAAATTTCTTATTGAAGTAATGTTGTTTGTTTCCATCAAACTTCATGGTTCCACTGATCACAACAAGAACTCTAGGCTGGGACTGGATAGCTTGCTTCTTCTTCTTTTGACCATTGTCTCAAAGTAAATATTGACAAATTCCTCAGTAGCTCTACATGTCTGATCTACATAAGTTTTAAAATCCACTGACATGGTTCTAGGGGAGCCAGAATAAGTATGTTCCAAGAGTGGTGGTGTAACTACACTCTCAAGTGTATGCCTCACAATGCTGCAGAATAAGCAAATATTTAGAAAATGAGCAAAACCCACTAAACACAGAGAATTTTCTACCCATCTAATTCTCTCCCTGAAGTACCTTGGTCCATTGTATAAGCACTCTGACCATCCTGAGGTTCTGGCTCTGCACCCATGGTGCCAAAGAGAAACCAGATATTTGTGGGGACAATGAGAAACCAGATGTTCCCATGAAAACAGACATGTAGGATCAAGGGTCTTGACATACATAACAGGGGACTTGCCAGATGACTAAGGGTGTCACAAACTTATGGAGTTCA